TGCTCTTGTGGTCATTTCAAAACAATGCTGCCGTTCTCACTGTCAAATTGTTGACCAGAATCCATTTGGGAACAATGTAACCCAATCTATCTGTATTGTAAGAAATTCACTTCTGCATTCCTGGACCCCAGAGGATGTAAGTTCAGATATTTATCTGCCTTTAAAAAAAAACAACTGAAAAGTGTTTATCTTGACAGGTAACCTGTTCTTCAGGGAAAAAAATTCAAGTTGGATTTCTGATATTCTGAAATATTAATTTAAATTTAAATTTAGTCCATATCAATAAACATTAAGTATTCAGTTGTTTTCCCATCAGGAGTAAGATGACTTTACAAAACCATCCTATTTAGATGACCAAAGATTTTATATTAAGCAGTGTTTGGACAGTTTTTTGAATTTCTTTAAACATTTTTTCTATAACCATCAAATATTGACTTTTCTGCTTCAGCATGGACAATCTGTTTCCAGTATTCCTAGACAAAAATAGGACATGGCATGATGTGAAATGGAGGCCAGCAAGAAGCAAAACTTTGCTTTTGATCTTGTACTACATCTGAGCTATGATTCAGCATCTGAAAGTATTTAGGGGGCCATAGCACTTCTGTAAAGCCCAACAAGTAAACATGCCTCTGAAAATTCATAGACCTTGGATCTTACATCTGCCAGTGTCTGACATGTCAGCTGATAAAACTAAGTATATAAGTTGCTAAAAAATGGAGAAGCATATGTTTTACAGGATGAAGACTAAACCTGAGAAGCTGCCAGAGCTAATTTGCCTCTGACATTACTGACATTACTTCTTCATGTGGTTTCCAACTAATGAAATTGATGGTTGTGGCCTATTACCATATTCCTTTTGGAATTCATTCTAAAAGGCATGAAAAAAAGCATGAAATACACAGAATACAGCGATGCATGATCTGAAGAAAGCTCATGGGTGTTATTCACACATCTGCACACTTCCTTTGTGTTTGGACTGTGTTTATCAGTGCTTTAGTCAGCATTACAAATATTGAGCACTTGCTCTTAGTTGTTGCAGTCATGTCAGTTCCCAAACTCTAGACCAGACTGAAGGATTATAAATCTCATACAATAAACACCTTTGTAGACTGATATTTTCCAAGATTTCCAACTTCCAGTTTTTCTCCCTAAAAGTACATGAGTATCCTGTGTCTGCTTGCTCATTCTTTTACTCTCATGAAAAGGGATGCCCAGTAATGCTCTCAAGCTTCCTTCTTTTCCAAATGTCCTTGCTTCTTCTTCTTTTATCCTCTCATCACAAGTTTTTCCTCTTCCCTTCCTAGTCATCTTTTTCATGTCTTTTATTTTCTCTCTTCTAGTATTTGACTTCTTTTTTTCTTCTTCCTTATCAAGGTGTGGTTATATTGGTTACATAAAAAATGAAGGATAAAGATGTTTTGTTACTTTTTCAGACATGGACCACAAGAGCCTTTTCCTATATCTGGAAGTACTGAGTAATAGTGGTAACAACTAAGGCTCCTGCACAGATATATTTGAGATGTCTAAGATTTCCCCCTAAAAAGGCAGTTTTTCTACAATTACAATACTGTGAAAGGGCACTTTTTTTACAAGTGGGAAAAGGCCATCTATACGGCTAAAGTTAATATACATTTCTAAGTAAAGAATGCCATTCACAGCTATTTTGACTGTGATCTGTTAACTGATTTCTTATTTGTTCGTTTCCCATCACTTCCTCTTCATCACAGTTTTTATCTCCTCCTGGTTCTATAACTGGGGCAATGAATGATTTCAGACAAATTCAGGGATTTCAGTAACTGGTGAAGGGCACATCATGCTGCATGGACATCCTAGAAACAAGAATATTAAGTAAGAAACATGAACATTATTATTTTTTTCCTTTCCTTTCCTCTGGTTGAAAATATTTGTTTGTTTTTTTTTTTTTTCTGAATCCACTAAGATTTCATAAGAATGGTCATAAACCATTATAATGAATAAAAATTATTGGAAAAAGACTACATTGACTGAGAGCTGCTGAGTCCAAATGTCACTTTCATTGCCCCAGTCCCTAATTAAGAACAGTTTTTCTTTGTGGAAGATGTGATTCTAGCTTCTTCATAAATTTTCCTACAAAAAGAGAGTAGGGAGACACAGTCTTGGAAATAGATTTTCAGATATACTCTACCTACAAGGCAGCACCAGCCTGGGTCAGCACAGATTCATGGTGGGAGATGTGAGCACTGTGAGCAGTGGGGCTGTTCTGCTGCCATGGCTGTGAGCAGTCAGGGCAACCCTTTCCCTAGGGAATTCCAAATGGAGCTGAAGTACCAGGAAAGGGCAGGATATCATGACAAACATTAACACCACATGCATAATGATGCCTAAGCTAAAAAACACAGAAGAAATTAAATAAAACTGATGGGCAGATAGTTTGGTCAAATAGATGTAGAATCATAAAGTGATTGAGATTGGAACAGGTCTTTAGGATCATCTAATTCCAAGAGCTCTGTCATAGGCATGGAACCTTCCACTACACCAGGTTGCTTAGGGCCTCATCCAACATGGCCTTGAACACTTCCAAGCATAGGGCACGTACAACTTCTCTGAAGCCTTCTCTTCTGCAGGCTGAATAGCCACAGCCCTCTCTGCCTTCACAGGAGAGGTGTTCCAGCCTTCTGATCAACTTAGTGACATCCCTCTGGACTCATCCCACTGCTACTGAAATCAAGACAAAACCAGTAAGAAGAATATACAGGCTGTTGGCAGCAGAGCAGGGAGTATAAGAAAAAACTGTTTTGGGAAAGATTTTTAATTCATTAAAGTGTAGATTTGCTAACACTAGCACTGCTAGAGCAAGCACAGGGCTTAGAAACAGTATCATTTCCACTAATGGGTGAGATAGTAAGTTAGCTGGGGCAGAACATGATGTGAATTGTGGATATGATTTCATGCACTTGACCTGAAGTGGTTATTGCTATTCCTGAGTATCACTACACACACAATATGGTGCCTTATAGAGCCTCTCATGTTTAAATGGGCAAGCAAGTCTTGGGAAAAAAATGCAGTTATGGAAGCCACTTTCAGTCAAGAGAAAGACATTAACTTGCTGACTTTAACAGCACCAAGGATTCTCAGCCATGCTTGGCAGAAGATATTAGCTCTTTAACAATCAAAACAGAAATGTAGATGTTACAGTAACCTGATTCCCAGTAGGTAATTAAAATAGCTGCAATTTGATATCAGCAAATAGTTTTTCTAGGCTGGAAAAGTGAACAACAACTACTTGTAGCAAACATTGGAAACCATTTGGGTGCAGCAAGGGTCGCTGGAAATCCCTCCAATGACACACGATATGTGCTGGAGTTAGTAGTTGCAAAAATGCATATTATTTTTCTAGTTGTCTTCTGAATTTTTACCTCAGTGTTTGTGTTGAGTTGTCACGCAGGCTGCTGTGGTCACTGGCATCTATGCATGATTTTTATGGTGGTGTTTTTCCCTCAGAATGTTGAAGAATAGTAGTAGCACACTGGACTCTTGAGAAAGAAACAGAAAATGCCAGAGAACAGTATGGACCATGGAGAATCACACATGTGGCTAAATTTTTAACTATGCTGGCAGCATCTGAAAAGGACTTTTCTTCCTGCAGAGCCAGCTGTGTTAGAAAACCCCACAGCCTTTTGATAGATCCAGCATTCCAGCCTCCAGTCTTGCTGGCAGACATGGCAGAAACATCTGGTTATTTTTCAGTTCCTGAGTCTCTCACTTTGCTTTAATACTTTTCTTTACAGGGCAACTGTCTGTACCCTGGCTGTGGTGATAACACATCTGTGTTAACAACCTTAATTTCAAAATTACCTAATATGTAAAATGGATTTCTGCAAAAAGCACTGATGTTTGTGGTTTGATTAGTGATGGACCATGGCTGCAGTATGCTTATGGTGACCTTTTTACATTGTATTACTGGGTCTCAATATTAGCAAAAAGACAATGGGTTTTACATATTCCTTTATAGTCTTCTGGCACAATGAATGAACTGACTGTGTAGTGGCTGAAAGCCTACATTGTTTAGTACCACACAATAATGCAATTTAGGCCTGCTATTGTAGTCTGAAAGGAAATTTCACCAACTTTCCCAGGACATTTAAGAATATGAAAACTATTGCAAATGGCCACATACATGCAGTAAAGAAGCTTAACCCCCAATCAGCATTGATTTATTTTGTGAAGGTCACTGCAGCAACATAACTGTTTGTTATTCTGCTTCATAGAGCTGGCTCTGGGAGAGAGCATCAAGATGGAACAAATTAGCCTAAGTGGGAATACTTAAGATTTTCTCTTTATTAAGTAATTCCCAGACACGGAATCAGTGCATTGCACCCAAGGTGTAGAATATAGAGCACTGGGCTGCAGCAGCCCTTCAGCCCAACAGCATATATCCAAGGATGTATCATGAATTTTCACTTCATTCAGATTAACTGAGATTTGACAGAAAGAAATCTTGAGCATCAATCTGCATGTATTCTAGAATTGTTACACAGGATAGTACTGGCTTTTGAAGGACTGATTTATAAGAATTTCCACATTACACTGCATTGGAAAAATAGCAATACAGCTGGTGAAAATAACTGTTAAAATTTATTTCATCACATCTTGTGCTCTTGATTCCATCACATAATGCCCCTATCCAGCAAATGGAATACCTTGATGCTCTAGTATCCCTTTATGATTTTACATATCAATCTTTGACATATTTAAGCTTAACATTTCTTTGGGAAGGTTTAGTCTTTTCTTCAATGTGTATATGGTACCTAAAAGGGTAATTTTTTACTGGATCTTCAAGATCCTTTCTGTACAATTAGAACTGTATATAAGATTAATAAGTGCATATATGCCTGCGAATATTCACTTTGAAGTCCCTGTGTTTGTTCTTTGTTTTAAGTAGAAATTAATTTCCAAGTACAAGAATATAATTATTTTTATAATTTAATTAGTAGTATTGTCACATAATTATTTTTCCAAAAATAAATTACTATGCTATTATTGAGTAAAGAACATAACTAAACATGCATACATATTGTAAAGACTTTTTAAATCTGTATTTTTTCATATAGGGCGAACACAGATGTACAGAAAATACTTTTGTTAGAAGGGCAGGAGTTTCTCAGCAATGACATAAAAAGAACAGCAAAACTAAATGGTTTAATGATCAGATTTCTGAGTGGGTTATTCCTATTCTGGGTTTCTATACTATGTTATTTCCACAAGTTCTCTGGATCAGAATAAGGCCTGACTTTCCAATAAAAAGTATTGATTGTCAGAAATTACAGTTCTCAACACTTTCAAAAATCTACTTTCAAGAAAATACAGCAAAGCAAAATTATACCATGTGCATAGTCTTTAAGTGCTTGCTACTGAGGCCAGTCTTAAAACATTAACAATAGATGCAACTAATTGCTTCCATCTAGAAATGCAAGAAGACTAAAACAATGACTGATGGATAGTCTGTTGTGCTGGCTAGCAGAAATAAGAAAGTCATACTCTGTCAATGAATAGTTGACTCTAATATTCAAGTCATTTATTGAAAGCCAATATAATAAAATAGAAAAAAAAATCAACTAGATTTGATAAAATTAGACATATTTCATTAAAAGTTACCTTTTGATATCTCCCTTGTTAGTGAATTGTTAATTTATTGTGTTCTAATAATCTGGACTTCTCTAAAATCCAGAATTATTGTGAGCATGTGTGTGAGTTAGCAGATAGCTGAATATTGCTCTGAATTGAATGTATTTGCTTAAATTATATAGTCCCTATGCAAGTGCTTTCCTAGTTCAGCAAATAATTGGGAGGAGATGTATCTCTGAATTTCTTAATTTTCTTTTCATCACCATTGGATTAACTAGCCATTCAAATTTTTATGAAGTACCTAGTCCATGAAATATATAATCATTCCTATTCTTGGTTGTATCTCTCTGCAAACTAAAATTAACCAGATATTCAGTGATGATTCCAAAGCTGCAGAAAGAAATGGTGTCAAGACTAGAAATAGAATAAAATAGCAGAAAACTGGTACTTTGAGAGAACAAGATTACATCTCATGTTCTCTTTTCCCTGGATTTGTGTTGGATCAGTTTATTCCAGTTCTGAAATTCACTGAATGAGTCCCTACAATTATATATATTCAGCATGCTGCTTTGGATGCTAAGCCTCATGTATTTTTCACCTTAAAAGTATTACTCTTCAAAGGATGACAGCAATTTATGGGTTATTTGCATGTTAAGTGGTTGTTCACCACAAGTCACTATCTGAAATGTCAGTGGCAGTTTTGATAACTAGTAATCATGCAGCTCATGATTTCATTAGCATAAGTATTTGGCCAAGTGCACCCAAATTCATTGTGTTAGTTACTATATAACAAAATGAAGACACCTAACTTGTCTATAGGAATTATGTTAGCAGGGTAGGCATTGTCACATTTGACAAGAAAGATGGAGTAAGTCACGATTTTCTTTGGAATATTTGGGATCTGACACCAATGATTTTTCAATATATTCATGTTATGAATTTATAGGATAAGGTGTTAAGCACATGTTTCAGGTCCATACAAAATCCCTTCTGAAAGAACAGCCTTTTCAGTTGTAGAAAACATACAAGCAAAGAAAAAAATTAAAGTCAAATAAAGCTGTTACTTCTTGATTTGGGTTAGAACAAGTTTCATTCCAGCAAAACTTGTATCTTAGCACTCTCACGGTACAAGAGTGACACTGCAATATCTTTATATGACAACAGCTTGAAGTAGTCGGAAACAAATCATGATGTCCAGTGGGATTGGAGGCTGAATTTCATTTCCATCCAGACGAAGGTATCGGAGACGAGGGATGTTGCCATAATAACCGTAATCTTCTTCTAGGGCAATGGAAACTGGGCACATCTGAGTACCATTGACACCTGAAAGTGTAGATCAACATGTTAGGTTATTTCCATGGGAAAAGTTTGTGAAGATAAAATTCACCAGGGACACAAATAAAGTAAACTTCCACTGATGTTAGCATGGAAAACTGTTGCTTTTGTTTCCATTTAAATGTTTTTTGATTGAAAACAAGCAATATAATGTGATCTGGATCAGTGAATTACATATTTGCTGTGGTGCATTGATGAAAAAAGGCCATTACATGCATAATTTATCCTTGGACAAATGGGATACTAAGTTATACAACTACATGGTAAGGATTGAGAAATAGCTCTTTACATTCTGAGTAAGCAAGGCAAGATTACTTCTGAGGGGTTTTGAACATCTTATTTCAGTGACAGTGCATTAATTTTAGGCTGATAATATTCCCTAATGAAGATGTTGCATTCAAAACAATAGCAGTATTGAATCAAAGGAACTTTTTGCATAGTGTTTTTAATTTTTAACATCTGTTCTTTTCTATTCTCTGACATTATTAAGTGGATTTGGTTCTAATTGCAAGACTATAACTTGTGCAATGAGGTATTTTTCTTCCTAATCTGAAAGCTAACAACTCCTCAAAATTCTACCTCCATCATGCATAATTTGTTTCTGTACAGATAAAATTTGAAACCATGGCTTCAATCATTACCCATATTCTGAAGTATTGAGTTGCTTGGGCTTTTTATCTCCTCTAGGTTACCTCTGCATTGTCACTTGGCTAAAATACTTGTTATATTTTGTTTTTAGTTGTTAAATAATCAGGCAGCTTCAAAATAGCCTCTAGAAAACACTGAAGTGTTGTTTGTTTATCAGAGATGTCAAATTCCTTCAACCAAATTATGATATTCTTTGATTGATCTAACTGCTTGAAGATCTTGGCCCCAGACTAACTGAAAGAAAAAAAACAAACTGGAGAACGTATATATAACAGATTTTTTAAACAAATTTCTTTACTAACAAAGAGATAGGAAAAAAATTCTTCCTTTATATTTAGTAATGATGCCATGCACAAATATTCTGACTACAATCTCCAAAATCAGAGAAATGTTATGAAGTAAAAATAACATAACTTTTTTAAACTTTCTTTCCCATAACTTTTTTTTTTTTTTCCCTCCACTCTATTTTGAAAAACTGCCCAGACATTTGCAACATCTTGGAAGTGGACTCTGTCTTTGTCATGGAAACTAGATAAATACATCCAGTTGGCCAAGGCCCGAAGCTTTTGTTATATCCATGATAGCAAATTGTGGTTGTTTATCTTGTGAAATTTGATTAATGTTGGCAAAGCTTTTGGTATTTTTGGAAGAAACAAGCTGCAGCTTATCTTTATGTGTGAATTTACAACACAGAAACCTTAAGAATGTTCATTAAGAAGGCAGCTATTTTAAGTTTTGGGTGAATCAACACTATCTAGCAGAAAATATCTGCTTTGTTTGATCAGCACTACTGTTCATAGAGACAAGATGGCTTCAAGTGTATCCTTAATATCTGTCTTCTCTGACTAAAAACTATCTCACTGCACTCATTTTCACTGAGTTAATTACTTCAGGCTTGAAGTGAGGCAGCAGTTATCTAACCACAGGCCACCTAGGAAGAAGTTATTTCCTGATGATGTGTGGTATGAACTGGTTTGGGTTTTATTGTTCTCTTCCCATAAACAGTAAATCCTACCCAAACTATCAAGGGAGTAAAAGCTTCTCTATTTTTTTCTCTTTTTCAATACTCTTCATGGATATATGGCTTAATTTTGTTTAAGTAGGAGGAAGAGGTTGTTCCTTCCAGAGGTACAATTCACCTTGCCATGATCCATGTAGAAGTTGTGTCAGCCTAAGTAAACCATTTAGACTCTGTATAAATTCAGAGAGAGATGAACACTTCCAAAAGGGGACTGACAGTTCCTTTGGATGGGATGATTTTCCCTATACAATTGTGTGTCCCTTTCCATGGAGTAGGAGGTCTGTATGACTACCGCAAATTAGATTAAAAAATATAGGATAGTTCATTCAAAGAAGATGAATTCCACCACTTGTTAACAGAATTGTTATGTCCTTGAATATTTAAACATGAAACCTAGAGCTGCTGTACGGGAAAACTGCCAAAGTTCTCATTAATGGCTAATGCTGTATGTCTGCTGAAGAAATGCAGATCTTTTCCCAGTAAAACTTACAGTTTGGGAAAAAAATTTAGATACATGGCCCAGGGATTTCTCTCTTTCTCTAAATGTGGTATAATATTAGCTAACAGAATCTATTTTGTCCTCCTGGTGTTCTTCCAGGGGAACTTACTGTTTACTCCCTTTCATTTGTCCTTTGATAGCACTGTAATAATACCACCTGCTGACCCTTACTCCCTTGTTACATCCTTTCATACCTTCTCTTTGCTTACTTTAACATTCTCTTTTCCATTATTTAAAAATTCCCCAGAGCCTCACAAGTGTATGTCTCAGGTAAATATGTGGGCATGTGTGTTTTAAAATGCCATAGATCAAATGTGTTACAAATCTGTTGGAGCCATAATTATTTTTGGATTTATTTTGATTTTACTTCCAAAACTGGGGTTTTTTTCCCTCTGTGTACTGCGATCCTTAGGGAAGTGATTGTAGGTGAAATTCTTGTTCCACTGAGACAAATTATGAGACTATCATTGGCTTTCCTGGGCTTCAGAAGAAGACCTTGTATCTTCATAAATGGTCTCTGGAGAAATAAGGCCGTGCACTTATATGAGGAATTGATATTACAAAATAGCATATAATAAAACATGGTCAAATGGTATTTACATAGAAATGCTGATGTCTGAACTCTTGCAATTACAACAGTGTTACTATGATTCACCAAGAGATAATTAAGCAGTGATTTGAAGGAATACCTGAGAATTAATGTTATAAAAGGGGCTCATACTGCACACATAAAATAAACCTTCAGCAGGACTCTTTTGTGAAGGAACCAGATCAGGATTTTACAGCTATTTTTTCTTTCAAGACTTTCACATTGATTATTTTAAAATAGTGTCTGATTGGGGTTTAAGAAGATGAAACCAACCTGCAGAATTAGTGTCAGCTCTTACTACTCTGGCCTGATGGAATTACATTCCTTGTTTGCCATCCTAAAGGCCCTTTAAGATATTATCTATCAGAGCAAAGTCTCATGGAGACTATGTCACTGTCCTTTACTTTTTGAACAATTATTCTATGTGGCAAAATATCCTTGCATGATACCCAAGTTTCATTTAAGGCATCAGATTGCAACTATTTTCTATTCAGTTACTAATAATTCCCTTCTTTTTTTTCTTTTTTTGGCTAAAGTCAGCCACAAGCCAACTTGTGCTTAAGTTGACAATGACTTGAAAAGTGGTAAAGGCACTAAGGAATACAAGATTTGTATTCCTGCATCATGATTCAGTTCACAGGTTATGTGTCATTGGAACATAAGATTTGATTTTGTACATACTACAAAATTTAATTTTCATTGTCTTAAGCTTTGTCAAACTTTTTCAGGGAAGGAAGAGGACTGGACAGTTCTTTAAATACTACCTAGGCACAAAACTGTTCTTAAACTGGACAGGCTACATTCCATTGATTTCAATTTTGTGTCCACTTGAAGTGAGAGAATAAAGTCTGCACCTGAGGCCTTACATTGAAGCAATTAAAATAAATCTCTTAGTAACCAGGGGGCAATGAAATATGTTCAGAAACAACATATGTCATAAACTTTAACTCTAATTAACAGATAGAATTCTTGCAGGCCACTAAAATATGTGCCTGTTATACACTTTTAAAATTTATTTATATGATTTTACATTTTTATTTTGCCAAATGCAATGAATAAATATAAATTATCAAGAAGTATCTTCATTTCATAGATCCTTGTTTTGTGCAAAAGCCAAACCATTATTTTTAGAATATTTTTGGACTACAGTGGCACAAAAAAGTGGTAAAGGACCATGTATTCAATTAAATCATCATGATGAGAAGATAAATATAGAAACTTGGCTTCCTTCTGTGCAGTGGTGAATAAAAAGTCATCATTTTTATTTTGACTTTTGGCATGAAATGAAGTACTTACTGATTAGATACTTTCATTATATAGAGTATGTAATATCCCTAGCTACCACACCCCCTCTATACCTGGATGAATTTGGAAACAGTCCTGGAAATGAATCTTAAAACCAGAAGGCTTCTGTTGCCTTGGGTACAAAACCTTGTCTCATTTACACAAAATGGAAAAACTTTGAGAACATAAATCTTAATAGAACATATATGCTGTAAAATCCATAAAACACAAAAACATTTTGCTCAGAGAGGTGGTGGATGCCCAACGCCTGGCAAATTTCAAGGTCAGGCTGGACAGGGCTCTGAGAAACCTCATCAAATGTCCCTGCTTATTGCAGGAAGGTTGGAATAAAGGGACCTCTATAAGTCCCTTCCTTCCCAAAATATTCAATGATTCTATGATTTTAATCACTTTATTTCAAAGACCATTTCTACTGTGAAGTAGACATTTAAAATGGAGATGGTTTTGAATGGTTTCACACTGGTAATACACACTTACTTTTGATTTTGTTGTGATCAAGATGAAGGTGCTCAAGATGAGCATTGATTGGTGGAATTTTAGTGAGCTGATTGTGAGACAGCTGTAGGTCTAGAATAGATGAAACATTAAACCCATTTGGAGGGATACCATCATCAGATAGTTTATTGTAGTTCAGCCTAAGGAAAGTCACTTTGGGTATTGCACTGAAGTAGTTTTCTGGTATGACCTCGATGGAGTTGTTGTCCAAAAAGAGCTGCAGTGTATTAGCTGGAATGCTTAAAGGCATTTTCTTGAGTGAATTTTTTGCGATGTTGAGCTGCATGAGGTTGTTGAGTCCTTGGAAGGTGTCACTTTGAAGAGCGCTGTCCAACAAACTGTTCTGGTGCAGGTCTAACATAGTAAGGTTTTCCAAGTGGCTGAAGACTCCTTCTGGGATTTTAGAGATTTTGTTTCTAGCTAGTCTTAGCTGTTCCAGACCCACTGGTAATGGAGCAGGAACCTCTTCCAACTCATTATCTTCAAGGAATAAGTAAAGCAGCCTTTTCAGCTTGCTCAGCACACCATTCTCAATCCCACTGTTTGTGATCTTATTCTTGTTCAGATTTATCCATCTCAGATGAGTGGCATTCGCAAAAGGCTTCTCTGAAATGGTTTCAATTTGATTGTTTTGAAGATAGAGGTACCAAATTCTGGCTGGAATTGGAGGTATTTCTTTAAGCCCTTTGTTATCACAGTATAATGCATTGGGGAAACTAGGAGGACAAAAGCACTCCTGTGGACACTCAGAAGTATAGTGAGACCAGTGGCCAGGATCCAGATCATCATAAACTTGTCTCACAGTTCGAGTCCACACAGAATTGACCAAGAATAAGAGCAAAAGGCTTGTATAGACTTTCAAAATCATGGTGTTTGCCTTGGAAGGGGAAAAAACAATTAGCTATTTCTCAATAAAACTCCCTAGTAGCATACTAGATTAACAATACAATTTTGCATATAAAACAATATTTCCCTTATAAACAGCCAAATTCTTCCCTCTAGGGTGGTATCCATGGCCTGTTAAGGGAAAACTGAAAAGTAATATAAAATTTATAAACAATTCTGTGCTATATAGTGATAAACATATCCCTGATTCAGCTTAGACTCCACATTGGCTACCAGTTTGACTGATGTTCATGCAAGTATCATTTCAAAAAATATGAAAATATGGATAACTTTTGGATAATAAATCAGTACCTCTTTTACATTTGTGTAAGTTTTCCTGTACAGCCCTACAATCTACATTATATAATGGTTAATTTTCAGAAAAGACATCATTACCATGATGATATAAATACTATAGTACTCAGTGTTCCTCCTTTTAAAATTAATCATCCCCTCTTTTCTGTTTTTGCTCTCTCTTGAATTATAATGACATCTGGATCGGATTTTCCAGGATCTTTTGTCTTCATTTAAAAGTAGAAGATCAAATAGTGTTTTAACAGCTGTTTGTTGGGCATGTTCTTAAAAGCTTGGAGGGAATATGTTTGACTAATCCATTCCCCTCCTCACTCACTCTCTCATATCCAAAGTTACAAATTTCCTTCCCTAAAGCAAACATACAAAACAAATGCCTAAATGACACAAAAAAGAAACCTTAATCAAATTATATCCGCAATAAGTAAATCCTGACCTAACTGTTCACATAGCTTTATGCATATTTTAACTATTTTTCCTACTTAATGATATGCTTTTTTTAGCCTCTTCCACAATTATAATTATGAACAAAATTATCACTGATAATTTACTCAGAAAGGAAATATTTGTGTAGCACAAAAACAGTGCCTTACAAACTCTGTTATCTTGCTCACTGGCTCATGAAGATTAACAAGCATTTTGCAATGTAGAATCAAAAGACTGATAGCTGAAATTTCTGGTCAAATTAGGAGGTTAGCTGTGACAAAAATAGTATTTAAATAAAAATAAATTCTCTCATAGGATTAATGCATCAGTAAGGTTAAGAGCTCAGTTCAGTTGCTGCATATGATATGTAGTAATTTAATAGTTTTCAACATTGTTATTAGCAGTAACAAGTGCAGAATCCTGTACCTTTTCCAGCCCCAGAAACTGCTATCTGGAAGCATTTCAAAGAAAGGGACAAATAAAGAATTTTTAAAGAATAACATTTCTATTTCACACAGTGAATTTGCAACCTTCTTACTCTGTAAATATTCATAACTGTAATAGCACTTTAAAAAAGAAATATAAAGCAATTTACCTTGTTAGTCAAATTCCTGGAGCTATCTGAAGCCAGTTAGAAATCTCTGTAAATTCACCGCTTTTGGCTGCTAACGCCTGTGTTTGTTTCCTGTCCTCCTAAGAATTAGCAGCACATAAAACTGGAAGTACATACTAGTATTCCCAGATGTATTTCCATGCACACCTTATTAGCTATTGCTTCTAGTTTGACATTGTTTCAGAGTTTGGGCTTACCTCAGCTTTCTTGGATCTTCTTCTCTTTCTATTGGTCCCTGTTGTTAGACTGTAATAGCTTGAGTCAGGCTACAAGCCGTGTTCTAGGAATACAGCCTCATATATACGCATCAGTGCTTACAGCTTTTAACCCCTGAAACAGCTCAGGCACCTCAGCACCTAGGCAGGGAAAGAAGGAAAGCCTGGCCTTAATATCAACCAGCCACTGAGCTGAAGGCATTTGATTTTTTTCGTTCTATCAGATGAGGGGAGCTGGACTAGATGAAACAGGTAGCCCAAACTGTGCATTTATTCAAGATTTTTGTTAGAAAATACTTTACACGCAGAGCTGACTTACATCATAACTCATTCTCATAATACCTGACTTGGCCACAAAGGATTAAAACCAGTGCCATCTGTTTCTACAGAAATATTTTATTTGATTTTTATTAAATGCAGATGCTGTCATGCCATTTAAAGACAAAATTCTTGATTAGGAGAAGAGAGCAAATGCATTTGCTAATAATTTTTTAATATTTTCAGTTCTTTAAAAATTAAATCCTACCTTTTCCTTTTTGTTCAGAGAGATATTTACATGTATTTCTACGAAGTTATAATATTCCTCTGTGTCTCTTGCAATTTTCTTTCATCATTGATCTAAAGCAAAATTTTTGCAGCCAACTTGCTCTCCAAAGATAGAGACATATTTCTCACATTAAGTATTTTGGAAGATTTCTGTTTTCCTTTTTAGTCCAAACTTAAAGTAACAACTTCATATCAGAAAAACTATTCATGTTCAAAGCCAGAACAATGACATAAATATTTTAAGGGAAAAGTTAATGGAAAATATTGAAAACATATAATATATTCTAGTACTTTAAATTATTTATATTAGTTTTAAAACTTACTTGCATAATTATTTTAATTCTGTTTCATCTGTTTGATTTTAACCATTAAACTTATAACAACTTATTTCATAATTTTTGATCTCTTGCTTCTTAAACTCAGAATGTCTCAAAAGAAGTTTAGAAGTAGAAAAGACCAAAGTAGTCAAAAAAGGAAAGCAAAGCTTCAATACATGGGCAGCTTTCACTGATTCAGTAAGGCTAATGTTAAACACACCATAAATTTTTTTCATTAGTTATGTTTATACCCGCATGTTTCTTGTTTATGAAAAAATGCACCCTTACCAACAGTAATTTGTGCATTGTTTATGTGCTTCAAAATAAAACAGGTGCTTAAGTATTTCACTCTACTAGCCCTCCAGGGCCTTCAAGATATCTTAAAGATTATCAGGGATTTCTTACAAAGCAGGTGTAAAACTGATTTCTTCATGCATACTGAATATTTTAATAATTTAAATTTGATTAAATTAATTTACATCTATGCCTTTAACAAAGGTTCTTGTTTTAAGCAGATGTACTAATTATAAGACAAAAGCCATAAAAACACCCAATTTTCATTATGAATGTCACTTTAAATACCTATAACTTAAAATGTTTGAGACTTATACCTCCTGCAGCAGAGCTGGTACCCCACATTAGTGATAAGGATGCTTGTCAGCTGGAGTCCAACCAATGAAGAAGGAGAGGGGCAGAGGCATCACTGTGTGAAATTTAATATAGTTGTATGTCCAATTGTGAACCATTTAAGGAGGCTTCACCATGAAAAGTGCATCTACGATTCTTGTAAACAGCAAGCAGTTGTTCAGTACAAAGCTGCTTTGTTTTTGTGCTAAATCTTCACAAAGTGTGAAGAGAGAATATGGAGGCCTCTTTGCCACTAAAGAAAGAGCCGAGTCCATCCCAAATGTTGTACTGAAATTGCAAGTCCTCAAGGCAGATATCTGCTGTAACACACTTAAATGCATCTTGCCAGATGTTTACATATAGCAACAACAAAAAAGATTAATTTATCTTTTGCTTCATGGTGGTCTGAATTTACTTTCTATTTTTACCTGCTAATTATGTCCAGATACTCATTATGTTATCACAGAAGTCCCTGGCAAAGGGACTTGCTGTTTACCTTGTGGCAGGCAGTGGTACTATTTTTATGAAATATTGTTCAGCAAGGGGTCACAATCTGCCCTTTGTGGATTTTGAGGCCAGATACTTGGTCCCTATCAAACACATGTTTCCATTCAAAGGAGGAGTCCTTCACTAGGAGAAGAATATACCAAAATATATTTTCTGAGACTTTCTCAATAATGTGAATTTCCATTTCTTCTGATGAAAACAAAGCAGAAAAAAATGACAAGAAATGTCTTCAAAATCAAGAAGCAAGAGTGTTTATGAAAGTCATACGTATTTTCTTACACACTCCCAAAATTTTTTGAAATATCTCTGCAGAGACAATGATTGCCTGGGTGTCTAGGCAGGCTTTGCAGAAAGCCTTCTTCCCATGGAGCCTTCAAGATTATGCACATCTCATGCATTTGTTGTGTTGAGTCCTCTGTCATCTGGTGTAAAATATTTCTTATTTAAAAGTTGCACTTTATGGTGATAAAGTTTTACAGACTAATAAAAGACCGTGGCCAAGATTTTCAAAAATGACTAATGGTTTGGGAGACTTTTTGTTTTGCACATCCAACCTGAGACTCTTTCCAAAACCTTATTTTCAGAAAGAGCTAAGAATTTTGTGTTAATGAGGTAATTTTTAACTTGAGAAGCTGAGTGATCAAAGGCAAATATCAGTGAAACTCAAAGTGCTCCTAAGACCAGGAGCAATCTCTCAAAAAGTAACAGTATGAAATATATTTTCACAACAATAAAAGGAAGTGGAAAAAAATATTACAGTAAAAATACTGTGGATACCCACCCTGAATTTTGGAGATAATTTCTAAGAGATACTGCTGGGTTTGTTCTAGTTTAAGAAAGATGTCTGAAGCTATTACAGGATTTTTACTGCATGTGTCTCCTTTCAATCTACACTGTTAATCAAGAGAATTTGTATAAAAAAGTGAAGAGCATCAACAATTGCAGGGTGTAGTAACACGTCCTTGAGAGAAGTAATGTGCATGCTTGAAGCTAAAACAGCTCACAACCTTGGGAAAGACTAGAAGAGTAAAAAAGACAGACTAGAAAGACCCTTTGGGAGGAGAAATGGACAACTGGGACTGCTGTTTGGAGCTGCTCTGTTTTAGCATCAGAGCTGCTGACAGTGAAAAAATGCATTGCTTTCTTTCAGTAATGGCTGCCATATGTCTCAGATTGAATTTGAAGCAAGGTCTGTTAAGCATCAAGCATGTGTATAGTTCATCACCAGCAAACCCAGGAGTGTACTGCAAGCAGAGCTTGCTCATTAGCCCTGTGCATTGCTCCATTTAGCAAAGGCTGCAACCCAGGGTGCCTCAATTTGGGCAGTACTTTACTTAAAATTGTGTGCCTTGCTCCACAGGACAATCAGTTCATCTGAAACAGGCTCTTGAATTGTCTTCATGGTTACAGGAGAGAAGGTAGTGCTTCAAAAGCTGAAGACAGAAAGTCCAGTTTGTGTATCCTTCATCCTATACTCCTAATGGTAGCTCCAGACACCTTCATGGGGTTGCTGACTTTTACTCAGGCTTCAGTCTACCTCTTTCACTTCTGATAACAGGCATGTAGTGATCTCTCTCTTTCTGCATTGCTGCTCTGAGTTTTACCCAGAGTCAAAAAGACAAAACTTCTATTTCCAAACAGTTCCCTGACCAGCAGACAGTGGTATATCTCAATTAATAATATCAGCTGCTCCTTTTAAAAACTGCCAAAGGTCAGCAAGATCAAAGAGTCTAAAAGAAAGCAGATGACTGAGCCCTTCAGGCTAGCCCAAGGGACACTGCAGACAGATCAAAGGACCAGCCCAGATGTTCCAGACCCTGCTCCTATGGATGTATTTTACTCTACATCATTCCTAGTGAACAAAAGAAATTAAAACAAAACAGACTTAGGAGCAGGAATGCTGCACCTCTACTAGAAGTCTAGAATTACATGCTTAGACCTCGCAGTGGAAGAAATTGCATTTCATATTTAATTAGGCATTTTTTGTGCATATGCAGACAGCTGAAGTATAGGGAGTTTATGTGGGGACCTCTCACTTTAGATCAGAATATATTGGTTAAAGAAACCTTGGGGAACAGTTTGACTGGCTTAATTTGTTAAAAGGAGATGTCACCTGACCTCTTCTTTATATAGGATTTAGGAAAATAAGATTCTATTCTAAAAGTCCAGAAACAAACTTTAGCAGTTTACTTTATGCACAACTTCACTCCCTTATCAAAACTAAAGTGGGAACTGAGTAGCTTAGCTGAAAGTGATCATTGCAGAGCAACACGTTTCAGAAAAGAACAACTATGGAAAAGGGCTCAGCTTTTATGGGAAATGTATTGGACTCCTGCATATGCTTCATTAAATAATTTTTTGGCACTCTGTTCGCTTTCTCTCTGGTTTGAACTCTTTACCACAGTGACACCAAAAAGGTTCCATGATACAGTGCCAAAATCTGGTATTTGTCTTGGCTTGCTAGGTTTACTTTAACTACTATAGAAATGTTACTGTCAATCTCTTACTTTACTTTGTTTTCATGATTTCCACAACTTCAACACTAACAAATCTACCCCACCCTGGGAGTCTATTTTTAAAATGCTAGCTGTATCTCAAATTAAAATATCTAACATGCATTTATCAGTGACACACATATTGAGTTGCTGGGGCAATGTGTAGCTATTTAGATGATTTATATTTTCCAGACAACTAATGGTAAATGAAAATATGAATTAATGATCTGATGCCCATTCTGTAAACCTGCAGAAATTTTGAACCATAGACCATCAATGATTAAATGTTCTGAGATAACATCAGGATAGTGAAAACAAACTGGCTTTACTATCCTTTAATTATATCCTTATCCTTAATTCATGTAAACTTCTGTTTTCTTGCTTCCTCCTATTGTTAAAGAAGTCCAAAATATTTTAATTTGTCT